CCGACTCACCTGAGCTGAGTCAAGCTGAACTAGAGAGCCTAATGGCTGTATACGATCGCCCCCTTGATGATTACCTTGAAATGTTCATTCAGGTGCCTATACACCTTTAATAATGTCTCGTAAGACTAAGTTACTAGTTTATTCCAGTTCGGCTACGTGCTTCTCTTCTCTCCCGCTTTCCCTCTCGCTGCTTTGTGCGCTGTTGTGAACAATGTTATAGAAATACGAGTGGATGCTTTCAAGTTGTGTAATACCGTACAACGTCCCTTTGGAAGGCAAGTCAAAAGCATTGGAGCCTGGCAAAAGGCCATGGAGGTACGTAAAATTATACTTGCGGATGCTATAAATCAGATAATTTACATAAGCCCAAGTAGAAGCAAGCAAAGCATAGCATTACTATATTTTGTCTTTCACTTAACCACATCACACTTGGAAAAGCATATTTATCCCTTGTCACCGCTGTGTTTCTAAGCGAGTGTCATTTTACTCTGGATCAATATCCACTCTGAAGTATTTTATAGGGATTAGAAAACATCTTACCTTGCCAGAGCTAATAATTAGTCCAAGAATTAGAACCGCTTGGCTTTGAAAATTTGTCTTTTGCGATTGCGCTTTTTTTTTTTAAATTTTAGTCAATATTTGTAATTGTTTTCAGAGAATTGAGCTAATTAAGGCCTGATCCACACTAAAATTGCATTTGGGAAAAGTTTTAAGCAAGCTAACAGACAAACAAATTCTCTTAAAAAGGTTTTGTCTCCTACCTTTCCCCAGGCGTTCCCACTCATTCTCTCGTTTGCACAGGTGAAACCTTTAATTTTAAGTCTTTCACTTTGTACTAGTCTTTATCATTAGGGTTGATTTCGATCTTTCTGACCCATGACGACTTCCCCTTCCCCCATACTATTTCCTTCCCTTTCTGCATCCCTTTCCCATTCCATATCCCGAATGCACCTTCTTAAAGTACCTTGCCTGACCTCAATGATTGAATGGAACTTTAGGATACATGAGGGAATAGTATTCAAGACAGATTATGAGAGAGAAGAATTTGTAGCACTTACAAATGCTGATCTCATCTATAATTGGCGGTACTGTTTTGTTTCAGTTGTTGGGAGTGGTTGGTGTCATGGTAAACTGTGCTCTTATTGGACAGTCTGGACTGGTACAGAGAATATGGCCAGACCTTAGTTGGGGAGGACAGGTTAGTTTTCTTTGACATCACATCAACAAAAAACACCTTTCGTTGTTTTGTCACAACCAGTTCAAATGACCACCATTACTCTTGAAAGGATATAAGAAGGGTAATAATATATCACACTGGCTGGAAACAATTGCCATTTTCGACGTTTCATAAAGCGCATTTTAGTAAAACTCAGGCCTCGGCACGAGGTCTCCGATTGAACCTTACGAGAACGAATACCCGTCTGAAAATACAGGATGTTACGAAGTCCCCTTTGTAACCTGTACAAACGCGTGCAATTAG